ATTGGCTGTTTAGTTAGAGGCTGCCACAGTGTCTAACACGTGCAGACAGCAGAGGTGGAGCACTGGACAGCCAAAAGACTCTTCTGGGGTGTTTTGCTGTAACTTTTGGCTCCAGGCTGGAAAAATCAGCTGCAGGGGATCCAGACAGTTCAGGAGGGATTTAAACACCCCAAAGTCCTGTGTTTCTGCTAATAGGTGGAAAAGTGGATGACAATCAGTGTCCTGAACTCTCTACCATTCAGCCTTAAGCTTTTAGGCTGAGCCACCATTCCTTCAGCCTCAACTCAGGCTGGCATTTCAGAGAATCATAAAATCCTAGAATGTTTGGAGGGGACCTTAAAGATCATCTCATGCCAACCTCCCTGCCACGGGCAGGGACACCTTCCACCAGCCCAGGTTGCTCCAAGCCCCGTCCAACCTGGCCTGGGACACTCCCAGGGATCCAGGGGCAGCCACAGCTTCTCTGGGCACCCTGTGCCAGGGCCTGCCCACCCTCCCAGGGAACAATTCCTCCCTAATATCGAACCCAAACCTCCTCTCTTTCACTTTGAAACCATTCCCCCTTGTCCTGTCACTACATTCCCGTGTCCCAAGTCCCTCTTCAGCTAAGTTTCAGCATTATCATTCCAGCATTAAAGAAGGGAGAATCTCCATCGCAGGGGTTGCTGCTGACCGGTTGTTTTTTCCTCCTCCTTTTGTTTACGAGAAGCAGGAGCGGAGTGCCGGGGGAGTTCTGCAGAGCCCCAGCTTTCCCAGCGCAGGAAGGCTCGGGCTCGGCAGTGCCCAAGCGCCCTCTGGTGCAGGCACACCCGGCTGGCTCCTGCCAGCTCCACCCGCGGATTCATCCCCCCAGCAGCCCTGCTGGGTGATAATTGAGGTGTTGGGGATGGTGGAAAGGGGGGTGACAGCCACCCTGCACCACGAAGGCAGCACTTTGCAGGAGCATCTTGATCTCTGCTCCCTGTAAGCAGGGACAGCCCCCAGGGAATGGCTGGAGCTGTGTCAGGGCAGGCTCAGGCTGGATCTCAGGGCAAGGTTCTTCCCCCAGAGGGTGGTTGGCACTGAACAGGCTCCCCAGGGCAGTGGGCACAGCCCCAAGGCTGCCAGAGCTGCAGGAGGGTTTGGACAACGCTCTGAGGGACAGGAGGGGATTGTTGGGGTGTCTGTGCAGGGCCAGGGGTTGGACTGGATGATCCTTGTGGGTCCCTTCCAGCTCAGGATATTCTATGATTCTATGATTCTCCCTTCAGATTTTACCCAAATTTTTGGTGATAAATGGGATTGGCCTGGTGAAATTAAGAGGACCACTTGGTACCTGGATTAGGACAGAGAAAGACGTAGATGGCTCCTCATGGATCATCCAGGCACCTCAGTTGAAGACAGGAAGGCTGGAAAGAAAAGAGACCTCCCAGATAGCATGAAAAAATAAATTTGAGGGTAATGAAGGGATGTGGAGCTATGTAGGAAACACAGGCCAAGAGGGCAGCAAGCAATAGTAAAAGATTTGCTGGTGAGATGACTAGAAGAGTGAGAAAGGAGAAAAAAAAAAAAAAAGCAATGAAAAAGATGAGCAGAGCCATTCTGGATTGGCAAACTTGTCTAGAAGGCCAGACAAGTAACATGAAGAGAAGCTTGTAGCCAGGTGGGGATGCAAAGAATGATTAATGAGACAATAAATTGTCAGGGCAATAAATTATGTCAGTCAGGTGCTTTGAAAACAGCACACAGTGTGTAACTAATCAGGAGTTGGAGTGCTCATTAATTCTGCTGGCAAATGGGCTGTCAGTCGGCTTTGCTGAAGGCAGTGAGTCTGGGATCCTTGGCCTTATGGTGCCAGCCTGGGTGGGAGCTTCTGAGAAATGAGGGAAAGAAATGGAAAAGGCATCAGCTCCCTGGGGTACTCTGAAATATGAGGTGCAGCTGCAGCTATTTTTAGAATGATAGAATGGATTATATCCTGAGAATATCCTGGAAGGGATCCACGAGGATCATCAAGACCAACTCCTGGCCCCGCACAGACACCCCAACAATCCCCCCTGTCCCTCAGAGCGTTGTCCAAACCCGAGCTCTGGCAGCCTTGGGGTTGTGCCCACTGCCCTGGGGAGCCTGTTCAGTGCCAACCACCCTCTGGGGGAAGAACCTTTCCCTGAGATCCAACCCAAACCTCCCCTGGCAGTCTCATGCCGTTCCTTTGGGTCCTATCACTGGTCCCTGGAAGACTAGAGGAGGTTAACAATGAGCCCATTTATATAAAACAGGACTTGCAGGCTGGTTGATAGCATTTAGATTCCTGAAAACTACTGGGACAACCTGTGATACATCTAATTCCTGTTATGCAATACTAGTAGGATGATCAATAAATTCACATGGATTCTTTATTAGGAAAAAAAAAAGTTTTAAATTAAACAAATAAACTTTGTTAGTTTGCTGACCCAGAAAAAAAGATGAGGATTGCTTGGCTTTAGTAATTTATTGATATTTCAATTTTGTGCCCAAGCAAAAGATCCCGTGGAAAACCTTGTCCAGCTTGAGGACGGGTTGCAAGAGCCCATATATTTCTTCTAGAGATTTCTGAGTAACAGGAGTGTTTTGTAGGGATGCTGAGGGCCATTTTTTAGGGGATGGGATCCTGCTTAGGAAGTGGAAGCAATACACCTTCAGCCCATCACCGCTTGCTGTCTGCGCCAGCCTTGCGTGCCCTGGGAAGCAGGGATGGATGACGGGCCAAAACATCACTTTGCTTTTCTGTCATTCTTAACTCCGTGGGGAAGCTTCAACGCAAACATCCTTCTGAAAGAGAGAAAAGGCTTGAAACAATAATCTGCTACTGGAAAATGATACTCTCAAGACTTTAAAATGCCTTCCGTTGGTCAGGGGGGATCAGTAAAACAAATCAAGCTGTGCTCGGCAAATAAAACTTAAAACAAACCAAAAAACAAACAAAAAAAACCCCTTAAAAAGATGGCAAGATGTAGCCTGTAAAATCTTCTGAGCTGAAATAAGAGCTAGCTTCGCAGTGGTGTCAAGGCCAGCTGTCATGGTTTGTGCTCCCATGGATGTCTCACAAACACTTCAAGCAGAGTTATGCTTGAATGCTCCAGGCACAGCACCAAAACGCTGCAGATTCAGGAACATCAATGCATCGCTGCTCTGAACTGATACACTTCTAAGGGAAGTCTCTTCCCATCTTTATTCAGTTGCCTGCAAGACCAGAGGCTCCAGTCTGTGTGTTGTTGGCTTGACACAGAGAAATACTTCAGTGGCATGTAAAGGAACAGCACAGCTGGCTTCGAGCTTATTTAACATCGCCATGTTTACATTGTAATACCTACGGGACAAACAGTGCTGTGATGGTATTTATTCTTCCGTGCTTTTTTCCCTCAGAAATAAAGAACCACCACGATCTAGAGAGGCTGGAAAAGGGCCCATGTAATCATTTCTCAGCGGGACACAAGAAGAAACAGAAATCAAAGCCTCTGGACAGAGTTTCCCCAACTCAGCTTCTGGAGCCTCGATCAGCAGTTGTCAGCAGATATAGAAGAGCAGGCTCAAGTTGTGCTCCTCTTTCTGTGCATGGAAACAATAAAATGAAGGGTAAAGCCAAGCATCAGTCATACAGCAAACTGCAGGCTGGCAGCATTTCCCAGAAACTGAAGCAAACGCAAAACAGCTTGCTTTTGGGGTTAAGTACTCGTCGCTCGGATATAAATTCTGCCACGTGCCCCATTTGTTAAAGCCTCTGTCACACAAACTCAGCTCTTTTCCAGCACATGCTCACAGCAGGGCTGAGGCACTTCACAGCTTGTAACAAGGACAATTTACCCGGTGGGATGTAGCCCAGCAAAGTGCAAGACCTACTTCATGGAATAAGCTGCAGAGCACATGAAATATTGATGTTAAGGTCCGCAGCACGCCCGGAGTCAGCACACAGGGACCCTTTTTAAGGCAGTATGGCACTGGACCAAAGTAAAATGATGGTTTTCCTCCACGAGGGGAGCAGCAGAGAGAGACGAAGAATTTTTCTTTGCCTTCCTCCATGACTGATGCCCTCAGACCCACAGTCCTCCCCTTGCTGTATGGGGAAAAGGTGTCATGCAGAGCTCCAGGTGACCAGAGCGACCCACCCTTCTCCTCCAAAGGTGCGAGGGCCCTCCTGCCCCAGGCTCTCCCTGTGGGATCATTCTGCCTCTCAGCATCTTTGGCCAAAGCAGGTTCAAACTCCACAGCTACAGAAACATCCACCCTAGTCACAGGGTTATAGTAAATGGCCTTTCATTTCCAGCTTGGTTTTTTGGATTCCCTCCCATTCTTATACCCACGCAGAGAAAGGGCTCTTGTGCTTCACATTCTGAATGTGTGATCCTTGGCCCCACAGCTGTCACACGGACATTTCTGTGCTCAAGAAGCTGCTTCTGGGATGCCATTTGATTGCCAAGGAACTCTTAGGTTTGACCTGAAGAAGATCTCTACGTGAAAGACGTGGAAAATTCCTGTAGAAGAAACTAAAGGTAATTTTTTTTCCTCTCAATTCACTCCTAGCTAAAGCAACTCTTGGGCAGCCCGTTCCAATATGCAAAGCTTTGTCCAAAATAAATAAATCAATCAATCCTAGGAACAACAATGGGGTTAGAAACCTGCTTGGTGCATGAAGCAGATAACTAGTGTTCACTTACAGCATAGAAGGTGTTTTACTTGCCTGTGGTATTGCTATAATCAATTTTCCCTCTGCAGGGGAAAAAAAATTAAAGTATTTCTGCGGAAAAGCTTTTTCTCCAAAAGCAGAGGAAAGCAAGCAAGCGTTCAGAAATGTAGCCTGGGGGGCAGCATGAGTGCTTCTGACAGTGCTAAGAACAAAGACACTCTGTAAACTACAGAGCTCCTCACTTGGTATCAGTATTCCTGCCAGAAACCCTTCAGATTTACCTGTAACCAAAAATTACAGTGTGGGTAAGGATGTGTTTATTCTGTTGTGTACCTGACCAGGTAGAAAGGAGCCCAGCTCTGGAAACATCTCGCAGGTATATTTATTACTCAGGATCAATCTGTCTCCAAGCACGACCTATTTCATACCCCAAATGGCATTTCGTCAGAGTGCAGCTGCACAAGCCTCTGTTCTCCCTGAACAGATCCTTGATATGCCGAGGCAGAGTGCAGCACACCCCTCACTTACACACACCACTTCCTGGATTTGTTTAGGTTTTGAGCACAGGAGCTCAAGAAAAGTCTTCGTTTTTGTCCTGATCATTTGAAAAGCTTCTTTCTTTTCTTTCTCCACTGTTTATTGTCCCCATCTTCATTATCATCAGGAGGGTCTGGCATCACAAAGCCATCAGTCATTTTATAATAGACTATTGTGGAATCTGTCTCAACTATGGCCAAGGTAACAGACAGTGGGGTGTCGGGATCCTCTGGTGGGAGGGAGGCTTCTTTGAGTATTTCCCTTAACCTAGAAAAAAAAAAAGAAAAAAATCAGTCAGAAAGGAGTCCACAACCTCCTGTGACGGCACAAAGGCAGAAGTGCACAACTGCTATTTTTATTCAGCCTGGTTGTATTCTGCGAACTTGTCTCCACTAAAGGAAGTATCATATCTGCTCTGATGAAATTCCAAAGTCATATAATCAAGCAACAAAAGGAAACAGCAGAGAATCTTATACCTATATATACCAGTTACACACAGCTCTGCTGGAAATGGAGCTTTCCTGAGGTGCATTCCTGTGCAAGTGCCTCAGTCATCCTGAGCACGGCAATCTCTAATGGCCCTGTCTTCATTAGGCTGAAATAAAAAAAAAATCTAATTAAATAACACCTGGTGTTCAATTAGAGAACTAAATAATTAAGACTTGATCCGTCTGCAGAGGCAAGTCTTCCAGTCTCTGTGCCACAGCTCTCTGCCAGGCTGTGGAAGACCCAGGAGCCCAAGCCAGGTTTCTTTACCTCCCTGTCTAGACTGGAAGCCACAAGACTAATGTTCCTCAGGACGGTCAGCATAAATAATGTCTTCTTTAAAAATGCAAGACAAAGTTATGCAATTTTTCCTGTTTAGCTTATTTGAAGAGTAACGTGCCAGTTGCTTTGCAGTTCAGAGCTGAGGACAACGCTGATCCCTGGAGTCCTTGGATTCCTGGCATGACTGGGGAACTGAAGGACTGAAGGAGGACAGTGCCCAGGGGCAGAACAATAAGAACCCCCCCATCAAGATTTTCACAGGGAGCTTTCCCCTTCATCCAGAGGGCTTGTCTGGGATTGCCAGGACAGGTTATGCTCTGGGAACAGGTCAGCTACACACTAGGAAAAACCACCCCTCACTTCACATGCCTTGGAGATCTCACCCACCAGAAGACATGCATGCCTGAAGCTGGACACTGCAGCTGAAAATAAGGCTCTAAGTGCATCAGCTTTCAAACTTTAATCATCATCTTCCTTCGAAACCTCTTTGATCCCTTAATAAAAGCCAAATGGAAGGCAGCAGAGAATAAGCAGCAGCCTGGAAAGCCTACACTGTTAAACCCACGACCTTCTTAAGTACCCATCTGTGTTCTGAACTGTGCATAATTCAGCCTGGCTGAATCCAGGGCTGCCTTGCCTTCTGCTTTCACCACTGGCCCCCACATAAAGCAGGGCCAGTGGGAATGTGATAAGAGAGTTAACAATAAAAGAGCAAATAAAAGGGCACAGCTACGCAGGAAAGGTATTTTGGGAGCCAAAGAAACCAAACTGGTGTGGAGTGTGGACAGCCCCACATCTGGGAGCGGACTCAGACTGTGGTCTGTCAGCCAGGGCAGAAGTTCCTTCCTATTTTCTTTAGTACTTGTCAACATTTCTCCTCATACTCTATTAGGGGATGGATGAAACAGTGAGGCCTTAGATCCAGATTTCTGGTCATTCATGATTTCTCCTTACACTGCAAGATAAACTCCTTATACCAAGCACCAACATCTGCACCTTTATTTCCCCCCATTTAGCACTTAGAAGATGTGCCAGGATCCCAAAAGTGGCCGGGTCCTGACAACAGATGAACCCCATTTCTTTGCATCCCTGACTTACTTTTCAGCAGACCAAGTTCCAGGGTTTATGTAAAGAGTACAAAGCCATGCCACTGCCTCAAGATGATCTGCTAACTGCTGTCCACAGAGCCCAGTGCTTTCCACTGTACACGGGGAATCAGCTGCTATCACCACCAGGAATTACAACTGCAAATGCAGTTTTCCTCTCCCCCATTCTCTCAAACGGGGCAACCCAAACCAACAGCTCTCACTTGTGCATACCACAGCTAGCCATAAAGCAGTGCAGCACATCTGCAGATTGGTAAGAGGGTATCTTTTAGGAGAATAAGCTTTGGAATTCAGGAAGTCTGCATCAGACGCCGCCGTCCCTTCCTCTCCTCCCCCGAAGGCATCACCGTCAGCCTCTGTGTCCAGCGTGTTCACAGCGTTTCCCTGCACCAGCAGACATTTCAAAGGAGTCAGAGAACATCTGGGTTCTGATCTCACTGCACTTGCTACCTGCCATAAACAGGAAGATGAAATATTGCAGGAATGGTATAGCTTTTTGATGTATCCAACACCATTTATGGGGGGGAAAAAAAAAAGGGCAAGAAGTGTTGCTGGCCTCCTGAAATTCAAAGGATACAAGTCTGACCTCCTAAACAAGGCAAGAAGCCTTTAATTCAAGAGAGACAGCTCTCAAGGCTGCCCATCTCACACAACAGCCGAATTCAATGACTGAAATGACAAGAAGCCCGTGAAAGGAAAATAACATATATAAGCTAGGGGAACACAAGCACCAAAAGAATCACTGGAAAAGTCTTATTTAAGTCCTAAAAGTAGAATAAGGCTAAGTAATTTTTTATGAGTATTCTCATCTGTTACAGATCATGCAGTCCAAGGCTTCCAGCATAGCCTGAAAGCCCACTTCTAGAGACTGATGGTGCCTGCATGTTCACTACAGTCCAGGATCTGCTCCCAAAAAGCCAAATGCAAGCAGGAACAAAGCCCTCACTTTGCACCCAGGACTCACATTCACCACACGTTTTAGGAGATGCACAGGAGTTCACCTCGTGCTGTTATTCAAAGGAAAAAGAGCTGGCACCATGAAAAGGGCTTAGAAAAGGTTTTCCAGAAAACTACAAACTCCTCTCACTAGAGATTGCCTTTTTTCTACCCAAGGATTAGTCTTAAGAGCAAGTGTAGCTTAACATCATGCAAGGACCACTCCAGGGAATGTACCAGCACTGTGTTACCCGTATCTGCCCTTACTGTTGGCTTCAAACTAAATGGCAACAGTGAGCTTACCTGGTCTCCTAGGACTGCTGTAATTCATAGCTTAAAACCAAACCAAAACCCAACAACAAAGCAAATCAATCCAAAGGGATAAGGGGAATTTCCCATCTTTCCCCCTGTCCTAAATTGGTACTAAAGTAAGCCTTTAACACCCATCAGAAGTCTGTGCTGTCTCTCCTAACAAAGCAACGCTGCCCTTTTCTCCCCAGGGAAGGAACCAGGTGTAGAGCTGGGGACTCCGGGGCAGCTGTAGCCTGAGGTTTGAAATGACTGTCCAAAAACTAAGAGCAGAATCATAAAGGAAAGACAGCGCAAGCAGAAAGTTTTGTGATGAACAAAAGAGCGTTTCATTGCCACATCCCATGCAAGTGCCTCCGAGAAGCAGCGTAACACTGCGGGCTCAGAGCAGTTTTATGGAGGGTGCATAGTGCTCCATTGAGCTGAAATGGAACTACTGCCTTCCATCCCATAAAAGCCAAAGGCTTTCAATCTGCCCTTTATACTTGGATGAATAATTCATTGCAGGCTCGGCCAGCCCCAACAGCTCCCTCCCCTCCACCCAAGGCAGAGTCAACACAAGTTGGTCTGTGTGCCACTAGCAGAGATCATTACTCCGTGCACTGGAGCGTGCCATTGTACCACACTGGGTCAGCACCAAGCAGGGGAAACCTCCCAGGAAGCACAATTCCTTGAATTTAGCCAGCACAGCTCCCCACCAGGAACACTGCCCCAGTCCCAGCTGCAGGGCAGGCAGCGAGATTAACCCAGAGCCTTGAAAGATGGGGGAAGGAGCACATGGTGGTGGGAGAAGGTGGAGAAGGACACCGCTGTTCCTTGGGGTTTGTTTCCAAGTTACAGGGATGAGGAATGCTGGAAGAAGCTCAGCTGTTTGTAACAGGAAAAAAAAAAACAAACAACCCTAAAAGCAAAGACACCACCACGTGCCACAGTGATCAGCAAAAGGAGCTGAAACACCCTGAGGAATATAAAGATTTTTTTGCCACGGAAGTTGAAGACAAACCACACAAAATAGAGGAATCAGAATTCAGCCAAGTCCTACAAGCCACACCAGCTACAGCACATTCTTTCATAACACTGCATAACCAACTCTGCTGTAGGAGGCACATCAATCAATCCCATTTAAAATATTAACAAAGAGTCCGCATTTAGGAGCCTTTAATTACACTTCCCATGTGTGATCTGCTGTATCAATAAACTCAAATGATGCTTATAGCAGGAGAGTTACTGACAAAACCATCAAGAGGATGCAAGATGAGAAGCACATCACATTTCCAGTGCATTTAAAATATCAGGACTTTTTCAGATTAGATCTCTATTTCACAATCTACAGATTTTGAACAGAGTAAATCACTTCCAGTCCTCAGATTTCCTTCTTGGGATGCTGATCAGCTTTAAAATGAAACATTTAAATTAAGCTGGCATTTTAACAACGGAAGTCTTTCTCTCTTAGCCTAAACCAAATTCTGTAGGTCTCCGTGACCTCAGGCAACCAACTACATCCTTCATTTCCAACACTTGCACACAAAAAACAGCCAGGGCAGGGATGTATCATTTAATCTGACAGTTTATCAGTAACATTTTGCTTAGACACTGTTATTTGTCTAGGACAGACAGTGCCTAACTCTATCAGATCTGGAATCTGAACTCCCTGGTCCTTGAAGGACCAAGGCTTTCAAGGCTATCTGAAAAATCCAGCTGTCAACGCTGAGCTCTCCTACCTTTGCCACAATTCTGGAATGCACTGACAATTAGGTACTTGGTGTCCTGGTGAGCAGCAAACACGTCCCAGCCAATGGACTCACAAATTCCTCCTGCAAGCCCGAATCCCTGCTGAATTCAGAGGTGGACAAACACATGGCTCTCCAAACCTCAGCCAGCTGTGCGTGGTTGAGACAGGGGGCCAAGACAGACAGAAGCTGCACCACGTGTGTTCCCCACGTGTCTCTGCTCACAGAAGGTTCAGCAGCCTTCATCTGAAGAGCAAGCACGCACAGCACGAAGCAGACTGTAAGAGACCATTTACAGTGGTGGTCTCTTCGCTTCAGAGCCCGTAATTTTGTGATTCAGCAAGTTCCTACGCTGTCAGGGCAGGATGATCAGCCTCCAGCGAGCCGTTTCAGAAGCGGACAGTGAGCGTCGTAAGCAGAACAGCTTTTGCCTTCAGCAGTTAACTTGTCAGGCACAGACTGGACGCTGTGAAATCCCATAACAGGCTAAAAAACACCGAGCAGGTTATTTTTCTTTCAGGGCACTCGTATCTGTAATTTGCTTAGGTGTCTTGCTGGTGATTTCCACAGCAAATTTACTGTGGCCTTTTAAGGACACACTTCTCAGTGGCAGCCAAGCAGGAATCTTCAGGAGACACCTGGGAAGGCAGAGCTTGCCTGACGTGGCTTTGAAGAGTAAAACCAGCCTTTATGTCCCTGGAAGACCAAGCCCACAAGAGTGATTGACCCATATTTGCAAATGTGAGATCGTTTCAGCACACACATAGTACTAAAATCCATCAATGCCTAGTAAATTATTTTCTTCCCCTTCACCAATAAGCTGTTAGAAAAACAAAGAGCAGAACAAAGATTGAAGTCTGATTGCAAGGGACTGATTTGTCACATCCAGGCCTTCCCAGGCCTTACTGTTAAGCAAGGAAATGCTGCTCATAAATGCTGCCATTTACTGGCTGCTTTTGCAGTTAGCACAGTTCCAGGCCCAGAAATGAGGACAGAACGTTTTCACTTTCCCAAGTGCCTCCCAGGGCTCATTTGAGGTGCACTCACTTGTACTCATACCTCCTCCTCTACTTCTAGCAGGAGAGGCACTGCTTTGAACAAAATGCAGATGCACGTTTCAGCAACACAAACACAGTGTTTGTGCTCTGTGTGCCACTAGCAGGTGATCTTCCAGTCTGACAACATCCATGGCTATTGAACACATACAGGCTGTTACAGACTCACCTGGTATTACAGCCTGGGATTCAGCCCATTTTAGTGACAACATGCCCTATGTAGTTGCTCTGCAGCAAAACCCAGTCACAAACTGTACTTTTAATCAATGTGATGCATTCACTCTTCGCCTCCCTAACACACATCCTTCCAGTAAGGGATTCCAGACACTCCGGTGCCAGGGGCAGAGCAAACAGTATCACCACAGAACAAACAAGGTCAGAGGCTCCCAATGAAAAGCTCCAATGAGACAGTGAAAGATAGCACATGCGTGCAGTGGAATATCTGCCATTAAAAGTCGATCAGAACATACTTCTGGCCTTGACCCAATGCCAGGAATCGAAGTTTCCAGCCCAGGGGGGAACGTGCTACGTTAAACAAGCACAGCGACTCGGCGCGTAGGTGGAATTCCTCAAAGATCCCACCCCCCCCTCGTTCGCTGCCTTCTTTTCCCACCCAAAAATCTCGCTTGGGATGAGAACTGCAGCGCATCCATTTCATCCTGCAAGACCCTCTCAGCAGCTTTCCTCTGGTGTGGAGGTCACACCATATTTCTCTTGCAAGAAAGACCAAGCCCACAAAAGTGACCGAACAATACTTGCAGATATGAGGTTTTTTGGGGGACATAAATAGTACTAAAACCCATCAGTATCTAGTAAATCATCTTCTTCCCCCTCACCCAACGCACAGCAAAACGGAGACAGAGGTTTGTTGGCAAGACAGCAATCTGTCACTTTTAAAACCCAACATTAAAAAAGCGAAAACGTCATTCCTACAGTGCACACACTCACATCTACTGAGTGTAATTCATTAGCTACCTGCTACTGTGTCAGGCTGCTGCCCACAGAGCAAGAGGGAACAGCAAAAACCAACAAGATCTGTAAAACCAGCCCTGAGCCACCTCCCACCAAGAGCAGGAACAGAAGAAATTGAAAAATGGCACAACCATACGAAGCTGCTACAAAATAGTCCAGGTCTGCAGAGACATCACAGGGAAGACTGGCAAATGCCAGCAAGAGAAAGAAGCCTTTATCAGGGCATAAATCCCATTATGTGTCTGAGCTGCTCTAAGGGCCTGTTAAAACACACTGTAAAATTACTGAAGTGGAAGTTCTCTAGGCTGCAAATATCTGCAGTAACACAAATTCATAGCTGTCTTGTCTTCTGCTTGAGAATTGCTCTGCCATGTGTAAGGAAAGCGAGTCAAAAATCACAGACACATTAAACTCGAGATAAGCAAGAGGAATTTCCTGTTGAAAGTACCCAAAGTACAGTTTCAAAACAAAAGCAAACCAAACCACATAAGGCTTATCCACAGACTTGATAGTAAAAAAAAAAGCTTATTCCTAGACAGGTCCAAGTGGATTTCTTTCCTCTTAGGTACTTTTAAGTCCGGCAACTTGAGAAGCATCATTAAATTTCCCAGACTACAAAATCAGCACAAGAATGTCCAAAACGTAAGATGTGAAGGTCTTTTACTCTAACCTTGCCTCTCAAACATGTACTTTGGTTATCTCCTGGAGCACACGCAGCTCTAAGCAACAAGAAGTTGCCGTGGGAAGCTGACCATCTTCCATCCAAGCACCATTTCCAGAGAGGGAGAGGCAGAAACCGATGCAAAGCTGAGGTTTCTTTAGGGTTCCAAGCCGCCTGTGTGTTTGCAGCACCCAAAGTAACTCTGCCCACAGGCTGAGATCTTACTTTCCTACGACCCTCCTTTGTTTCCCCCCTTCCCTTCCACTCCTGACAAACCCAGCAGCATCCTGTAAATTATATCTGTGCTTCGTTTTACGTCACTGTTAACGTGGGACAAGCTGACTGAGCAGGCCCTCACCTCTCATGGCTTATCAGGATGTGGGCAGGCACCGGCACCATCACCTGGAGACCCTCCTGCTCTCTTGCACGTGCGTGTAAACACACTAGCTGCAGTTCTGCTACTCCAACGGGCTTCACCTCGTGCCAGTTTCTCCCTGGAAAGGTTTGTCAGCGATGAAGAGGACCAGAACACAAAACACAACTTTTAATCATTCAAATATAACATTTAAGTTGACATCTAAGGTTCTGTTTTCCCCTTCCCTCTCCTCACAGGAAAACTCCCCCATTCATCTGCCAAATTCCCCTTTTGAGACAATCCTGTTAAAGAAATCCATGGAGCAGCACCAGCCTGCTGGCTCCAGAGCTCCACTGATGGATGGTGAGCAGGCTCTGACAAAGCTTTTCTTCCAAAAAGGCAAAAAGAAGATAAAACCACACACAGCTTTAGTCACCTGCAGCACTGCAATCACAAAATCTGGGCTTTACCAGTATCCTGAACTGTGAAAGAGCAGGTGCTGGGAACATGATTCTTGCTAAAGCACAGCCCTCCCTTTCTGCTCGAAGGGAAGAGGCTGAAGTTTGTGCTGCAGAACTGCAGAAACCTCCTCTTAAAGCCTATTAAGGCGTTTTCTTCAGAGGTGTAACAATAACAGACACAGCACTTTCTGGCCTGTAAAATCCCTCCCTTCCCTGACCTTGAGAACCACGAGGCTCCAAGCAAAACTGAAATATTTTCATTAGGCTGGCTGGCTGCCTACTCACAGTCCCTGTTCAATAAAGCCAACTTGGAAGGATCCAGGCAGAAGTTTATGTATCACACAGCTCTGTTCCACTCCTAGCAGACACCAGAGGACTGCACTGGATTTCACAGAACCATTCAGGCTGGAAAAGCTCTTTGAGATCATGTCCAGCCATTGACCTGACACCGCCAGGTCCCCCACTAAACTGCACCCCTAAGCACAACATCTACCATTTGTTATAAATTACTGTGTTATTCTATGCACAACTACTGAACTTGTAACTTTACCTTTCTATGTTCCTTTTCCTTCCCCTACTCATATTTTGCCTTTTTTTTTTTTTTTTTTTTTGCCATGCTGCCTGTCTCTGCCCTGGAACCCTGCACCTCTGAGTGCTGGATAAGATCTTTTTGCAAAGGCTCCAGGTAGGCACAGGATAAAAACCTGCAGCCACAGAAGTTTCAGAGAGAGCACCAAGGCCTTCCTAGGAAAGGTCCTGCCAGTGCACAAACAATTCATTCAATTAACTGTTGAGATGTCCACCCAGCCCAATTCCCTGATTTACCTTCCAGGAGGTCCAGGTACACCAGGAACGCAGCGTAGACTTGAGTACTGTCAGATACATCAAGTGACATCATCTCTGTGAACTGAGACCCAAAAAGCAATGTTGGTGAAGGAAAACACAAGCTATATTAAGAATGCACAGACCAAACCCCAGAGCCTGTACAGCCCCCAGAGCCACTGAAGCCTGAAACCAGTTTTTTAAGGCAATCAAAAAGCAGGTCTTGTTTTCTGACAGTATCTTAAAAGCTCCCTTTTTCCACATTCCCCTTGCACTTAAAAAAGCAGGCAAAATACACAAACAAATGAGGAATCACGTCTATTCCTGGAACAGCTCTAGCTTTGTGCGATATCTATTTTCGGGTAAATCATCCTGCCTATTTTTTGCTACGGCACACCAGCATACGGTGACGGCCAAAATTAAAGCCAAAGCGCTAAAAATCAAGACGGAGTTAAAGGTTTAAGGCATTTACCTCTCCCGGCTGTGGCTCCGTGATTTACAACCCCCCTCCCCTGCTGACTGGGGGGCATTCCCCGAGCACCCCACGGAGGCCGGAGACACCCAATATGTGTTATACTGACAGTATGTGTTATACAGCACGCCTCCCCGGGGGAAAATGGGGGAAAGGAGATGTGCCTCGGAGCCAGGAGGGAGGAATCCTGTCGGGATCCAGGAGGCAGAGCGGGTTCCTACCGTGGGGTGAGCCGTCATCCAGTTGCCTCCGGCCGCCCCCGCCCAGCCGCCCTGGGCCCGTCCGCTCTCGGAGGTGCCCTGGCCCGGATCAGTGCTTCCCTGGACCGAGTCTGTGTCCCCCTGGTCCGGGTCGGAGCCCCCTTGGCCCCCCAGGGCCGGGCAAAGCCCCGCCGTGCCCGCAGTGCCCGCGGCCTCCATGCCATGCCCGGGCTGTGCAACGCGGCTTCGCTCCGGGCGGCGCCACGCGCGGCCCAGCCCTCCCCGGAAACCGCGGCGCCGCTCCGATGGTTCCGCCGCAACTCCGTTCCGACACCCCCCCCTCTGGACCCCCCTTCCCTCCACCTCCCCAGCCCAGGCCAAAGGCGCTGCTTTAAACCCTTTAAATTTTAGATATATATATATATATATTCCTTATCACAAAGTGTTCTTTCCCGATCCCATTTTCTAATGGCTAATTTTTCTTGTTTGTTTGTTTGTTCGTTCATTCATTCATTCATTCATTCATTCACTTATTTTGTGCCCAGGGAAGGGGAGTTCTGGATGAAATAGAGATTATTATTATTATTATTATTATTATTATTATTATTATTATTGTATGAATTTTTTTTTAAACCGGCCGACATGCTCGGGATTGCTGAAGGTCGCCCCCAATGTGACTTCCTGCAGTTACAACCCACACACAGATTCATGCGTTAAATATATATATATAGATTAATTTTCAATTATACTTTATTATAAAATTAGCATTGAGCCTATGAAGAAGAAGGGTTAAAGGGTTTAAGTGTTTAAAGAACATTTTAATTAATATATGGTGGCTGAGAATCCGCTTTGCCTAACACAAAGTGTCCCAGATCTGACTCACCAGCTCCATCTGCCTTAGTGCCTCTTTGGATGAATTTCAAACCCTGGTTTGAATGAAGTTCAAGCCTGTCTCTGTCTCTGAAGAGCTTCAAGCTGGTGTCCATGCACAAAAAAAAAAAAAAGAAAAATAAAAAGCTGTGCGCTGTTTGTAACGTCAGGTGAGAGACCTGTACACTGGGGCTTGTACTTGGTCAGGCTACACCAGGAAAAATCTGGCTGAGTTTGGAAAATGTCAAACACCTGCACTGACTGGAGGAGACACCAAGTATGATCTTGAGAAGGTTGGTTTGACACAGGGCTTACTGAAAGATGAACTGTCCTGTCTTTAACCCTTCTTCTTTATAGGCTTAATGGTTATTCTGTAATAGAGGACCAATGAAAATTAATCTATACATATTTGATACATAAATTGGTGAGTAGGTTGTAACCACAGAAAGTGATACTGGAGACAGTCTTAAGCAATTCTGATGAGGTTGACCTGAATAAAACCCACTATTTTAGCTAGCACTTCAACTCCCTGGGTACTAAATAAACAAATAAATAAATAAACAAGAAAAGTAATGCAGTCTCTGAGACTTTCATGGAAGAGCTGGAAACAGTGGTTTACTCAACTGCTGGGAAAATAATTGGATGGATTTGAGCCCTCAGAGGTGAAGAAGTAAATGAAAGGAAATAGACTTGTCTATAAATATCAGCAGGATAGATCCTCTGTTTTCCACTGTGTGGGAAACAAGCCCAAATTAGTAGAAAGCTGCCTCGGAGAAAATTTGTCACCTGTCAAACTGAGATAGTGAGCCACTGCCAGAGACAGTTCTCACAGCTGGAATCTTCGTGTTTGGGTGTTTGGGTGTTTAGAGGAGGCTGAAACAACTGGCTTAAATTAATTTCTGCGGGACTTAGGCCTGCAAAAAGCTGCTTCTTCCTCAAAGCTAAAATGTTTCACCACACAGTGGCTCATTGTCCTGTCACAGCAGGATTGAGTACGGGCTTAAAAAAAAAAATAAATATACAAGATAGAATTTTGGCCACAAATAAAGGAGTCAGAATGTGTGCAGGTTTCTTTGTACGTGCACATAAAGCAACAGTCATTTAGAGAAGTTGGAATGGCATGAATTGTCAGGGTAATATCTGTTTACCTGAACTCTCCAGTCTTTCCCCTGTGCTGTGTGGCTGGGAGTGAGAGATTAAGCTGACTTGACTTCTTTCTCTTATGTGGGGAAGAACATCTCATGTTTCAGGCATCTGCTGCTCTCTCTCTTTTGTGTGCCACAGGAGCCAGGCAGCACAGTGAGTGGTGTGAGTGAGGGGAATTCACTTGGAGGAGCAAATTAATGGTTTTAGGATGCTGCTGTTATGGCTCCGATGCTGTTCTCAAAATAGAAAATAAAGGAGAAGTGTGAAGAGAACTGAAAGTACTTTAGATTTCACTGGTGGCATCAAGAGCTGCACAGGATGAGAGGCACAGTCACAGTCAGCCTTCTGCAAACACTGATGGCAACACCACCAAACTGGATTTGCACTTTGCAGGTAGAACAAAGGCTCTGCAGCTGCTTCCTTCCAAATCTTCCTTTCTTTCTGGGGGGGAAACAGTCTCTGCTTGGCCCTGATCCTGACCCTGCATTCCCTCCCATGAGAAGCGCCCATCCACAGGAGAGGCCTGGCCAAGGGAGGTGCACATTTCTCCTGAAGTCTCCTAAAATCGGGATTGTGACCCAGCTTGAATGTCCAGTGGATAGAAAATGCCAGCTTACACCCCTCCACATCAAGTATAATTAGTCCCCATCCTCCAAACTGGAGCAGTCCTGTGGGCAACAGCAGAATCCTGTGTGTGGATTCAGCTGGCTCCTGTGAAACCCTAATCACTTCACACAGGCTACAAAGCTGCTCCTTCTATTTGGTTAATGAATCCAAGCATAAAAGCAACATGTGGCAAACTAACCATGAAAGAAAAGCCTCATTAATGTATCATTCTAGAAGGACAATTATAAAGGTGTCGTGAAGGGCAAACAGGAGGAATATATTTGCAGTGATTGTTCAGGAAGATGCTTACAAATTGAGGGGGGGGGGTCTCTTAAATTTTAGTGCAGATGATTCTGTGACCTCGGTAGATTCTTTATTGAAGTTTCCTAGGATGTTTCATTTTGTGTTAGTTTTTTGGGGAGTCATCTGATCAGGAAACTGAGACAATATAATTTGGTGTGGGTGATAGGTTTTATAAACAAAGAATAGCAGACATGAACTTGCTCTCTCTTCTGTATATATATATATATATATACACACACACTATCTGGGCTGCAAGCAATTCACACTGACACTATAGATAATTAAACAATTGTTTGTTTGTTAAAAGCTTCCTTATATTTGAGTTTTGCAAGCACACAGCCAAGAGCGCTGCCTGCTTAAAGTGGATCTGTCTGCCTTGGAGAAACCACCTACCCCCAGTAAACCCCAAATATGCCGTGATGGGGCCCTTAGAGTTAATTAGAGATTTCATCTTGAAAAGGGTTTAGCATCCCCAAATCCTATTAACTTCTAAGAGAGCTGTGATTACTATGCCCCTTCTAAGATCATGACCCAGTAATTTTAATTGCTGGAACGTGCTTTATTTATTTTGGTGGTAAATTGTCGTTGGCCCATTCATATGAACATTTCCATGGCAGAAGAGTCAATGAAATATGGGGAGTATCCCCTTGTATTCCCTTTCTTCAGAGGAGCGCTGCTCAGGTCTGGGGTCGGTCAGCCTGGAGAGGAGAAAGCTCCAGGTAGACCTTAAAGACCCTTCCAGTACTTGAGCAGGGCTTTTAAAAAAAAAGAGAGAGTGACTTTTTTAAGTGGGCAGACAGTGACAGGACAAGGGAAAACATCTTTCAACTGAACCAGGGTAGGTTTAGATGGGATATTTGGGAAGAAATTGTTCCCTGTGAGGGTGGGCAGGCCCTGGCACAGGGTGCCCAGAGAAGCTGTGGCTGCCCCTGGATCCCTGGGAGTGCCCAAGGCCAGGTAGGAGCAACCTGGGCTGGTGGAAGGTGTCCCTGCCCATGGCAGGGTGATGGAACTGGATGAGCTTTCAGCTCCCTTCCAACCCAAGCCATTCCCTGACTCCACGGTATTTATCTTCCATCCGTGGTCCAGGGGCCCGTGACGATCCCACCAGCGCTCCCACCTGTGCTGAGGGGGCGGCCCCGCGGGGCCGGGCCGGGGGAGGTGCGGCGGAGCCGAGCTCGGGCAGGCGGCGCTGCTCTGCTCCTCCTTCTCCTCCTCAACCTCCTCCCTCCTCCTCCCTTGTCCTGTCTCCCTCCTCCTCCTCCTCCTCCTCCTCCTGCTGCTGCCGCCGCTCCCCCCCGCGGCGCGGCCGCCCCGCACAGCCGGCGGCTCCCGCGGCCGCCCCGCGCCCATCATGGCTGCGAGCGCCGGCTGCCCCCCGCTCCTCCTTCTCCTCCTCCTCCTCTGCCTCCTCTTCCTCCCCCTCCCGCCGCTGCTGGGCGGCTGCGGGGCCAGCCCGTCCCCCCCGGAGCCGCCGGAGCCGCCGAGCCCCGAGCCCCCGGCGCTGCCCGAGTCGCCTGTGCAGCAGCCCACGGTGCTGCTCGCCATCCTCGCCCGCAACGCCGCGCACACCCTGCCGCACGTCCTGGGCTGCATCGAGAGGCTCAGCTACCCCAAGAGCCGCATCGCGCTCTGGTAAGGGCCGGCGGAAGAAAGGGGAGCGATGTGCGGGGCCCTGCCGGGGGTCCCACCGCGGCGGGGAGCGCGGGGAGCGGGGCCCGGAGCAGCTCTGCTCGGAGGGGGGACAGCCCCGCTCGGAGGGGGGACAGCCCCGCTCGCAGGGGCAGCCCTGCTCGGGAGCCGCGATTTGGCACCTGGGAAGGGCTCGCCCACCCGTCCCGGGAGTCCCACCCGGCTCCCGCCGTTGAGTCCGGAGGGAGATGAGTTATCCCAGCAGAGCTGGCCCGGAGCCTGGGAACATTCACCGCCCGAGCATGTGTCCAAATCCACAGACGGGGAGAGCTCCGTGGGGCTGGCTCCCGGCTGGTAAATCCCGGGCTTTGTGGGGAGCTGGGTGGGTTGTGCCAGGGCTGGAGAGCGGGGCGGGCTGGGTAGGTGCCGGTGGGCATTGAAAGGAGCATTGTTGCCAGGCTGGAGGCTGGAAGATGGATTCAGAGATGTATTCAGAAATCGCAGCATGGGGGCAGCTGTGGCGGTCAAACGGGGGTCGGGATGGAGGAATTAGAGCAGTCCGGGAGCTGGTCAACCTGCCTTTGCAAGGGGACAAAGCGAAAAATAATCTTTTAACCTGAGATAAGTGTTAGGAGGAACAGGAGTTGCTTACAAGGCCCCCA